GAGAGCAGCACTCAGGTTGCTCTGGCTGTGGGGGAGGGTGGGGTGGGAGGGAAGGCGATGCCATGCCTGAGGTGGTCTCTCTGCAAGGGTGAGCAATGCCCCACATGTCAGCCTGAAGGCTTTGGAGGGCGACAGGGGGCCCTCCATTAGCCACTGCTCTGGCTGGCCACGTGCCCCCTTGGAAAATCTGCTTGCTTTGAGCAAATCTGTTGAGTGGGGCCCCCAAGGCCCGGCTCCCTCCAGCTTCCCTCCTTTCAGCAATCATCCTGGGGTGACAGAAATCCAGGCAACCACCAGATGGCGGGGGCGGGGGGCGTTACAGCATCCCGCACAGCACTTTGCTGCTACTGAGCATCTCCTGGATCTTTCCAGCTCCACAAACTACTTCAAACTGAGCCTTGCGGGGCGCCCTTCTCTGTGATGGACTATGCTTCTCATCACGTTCTTGCCCAGCCTCCAGCTGAGACTTGGGAAACCACAGCACAAGTTGGGCGAATGGTCCACCTGGCCCCCGAGGAACAGGCAGCCTGGTGAAGCAGCCTCCGGCGAGCTGGGCCTGCAGCAGGGGGGCCCCCACTTGGCCACAGGGACCAGCTGCCAGGCACTCTTGATGGGAGAAGACACCCTCAGCTGGCCGGCAAGGGCCTTGATGCAGCCTCAGGGCAGGACAAGGGAAGGATTGCTCTCTGGCTGGGTTGCTCTGAATGCTCCTCCAAACTAAATTCTGTGTCCCCCCCGCCCCCCAGTCTGGATGAAAAATGCGTTGGCTAACCCCTGAAAGGGTTTACCAGCTGCTCCACCCGCCTCTGGAATGGACTGCAAGAAAAGCAGCGGGTGATGGGCACAGAGAGGAGGCCTCTTCATTTCTTCCATACAGATTGGTGCAAAAGGCACTCTGCGCGTGCTCCATGGGATTCTTGACTGGTGCTTCGCATGTTCTGGGCATCAACGTGGCCTCTTAAAATAGATTCTGGGCTCAAGTTTGGCTTGCGTTAGTCATGGTAAGGTCTTGGCAAGCGCCAGTAGAGGGGCCACCGGGACTGCCAGCCAGTCTGCTTGTTTTTAATCCACAAAGGGCACAGTAATGCCCGTTTCTCAGCTGCAGCTCTGGTTCCGACGGTGATATTTTAAACGAAATCTTTCCAGGCTCTGATGCTGAATAACTGCCCGACCGTTAAGGGAGCTCCCCAGAGAGGCCGCCTCCGGAACTCCTTTCGGGGGACTAATGGCTGTTTTTAAAGAATTCTACGTTTCAGCAAACGTGGTTTTATAACGGGGCCTTCCACATTTTAGGAGGCAGGCAGGGAGGCAGACGGGCAGGGCCACGCTACCCGTTCGGGGCTCCCGTTCCTCGCAGGGCGCCCCGTTCCCTCCTCGTTCCTTTGACGCCCCCCGCTTTCTCCCCGCACCGCCGCGTTGCTCTCCAAAGGGGAGCCCAACTCCCTCTGGGGCGCCGATCCCAGCTCCGCTCTGCCGACCCCGGCGCCCGAGGCGGCAAGAGGCGAGGAGGCTCCGCGGCTCCCGGGCACCGGCCGCG